GCATCTTGATTGATTGGCCTGAAAAGTGCTGTGTTGCGGGGTCAGATTGTGCGGGTTATCGTTCCCTGATTAGATTGATGATTCTCAAAGGTCGAATTCAGAAAGCAATTCCCTGGCAAGATTGATCCTTGGGAGGAGGGAAATTTATTTTTCTGCCTTGCAGATGGGTCCTGACAGTGAGAACAGCAGGCCTAGAACTGCAGAGGGTGGAGCAGAAGGATACCTGATGTTCCTAGTGCGTTTTGTAACTGCTTGGAAACATCGTTCTCATCCTGCACACGGCTCAAGTTGTATTCTTTGCAAGATGCAAGTTCCTCATTTCAGAGATGCTCTGCAGAACTTTAGCTGAAAGTCAGCTGAGACAGGAATTGATAATAAGGTCAGCAAAGAATCAAATCAGTTGCTTCATCATCCCAGTAGCATGTAATGTCTGAAGCCAGCCTTATAACACACTCAAACAGTGAGCTCAGAACCAGCAAAAAACAAGGGGAAACTATTGGAGCTTGGAACTTTAGGTTAATGCAGGGGTGGGCAGAAAGTAGATCTAATGTAGCGGTGCATTTCCTACATCCACAGGGTGATCAACTAGATTATTTTTCAATAATCCTGTTGGGTGGTTCATCACCCATGGTAAACAGGAAGCTTTTAATTAAAGGTATAGTAATCCTTTAAAAGTCAGTAGCCCTCTGCCTGTCCACACAGTGGAGAGGATGCTGCTGCACTTTCATTCTATTGCCCACAACTCACCAATCTGAGAAAATGCAGGAAACAGCACAGGAAAACAGGAATGCAGCCATTTGGTTAAAAGGGAGTGAACAAAATACCAACTTTCCAGAAAATGGCTAGTGCAGAAGCAGAATAGGTCAGGAGCTATAACGCCAGATGTTTTAGAGTTCAACTTCCAGCATTCCTTACCACTGGGAATAGTGATATGATATTCAGGTGGTTGAAGTCCAAAGCATAGAAAACCCAGAAACATAGAAACAGCGAGTCAGAAGGGGTCTCCAAGGCCATCTAGTCAGACCCCCCAGCTCCAGCCAGCTCCACTCATGTACTACTCAACATCTGGAAATCTTTTTCCTGCCTACCGTATCTGAGCAAGCATATACTGGTAAATTTCATATATTTGCCTTCAGCCTCACTGATGCAACTTCTGTGAGCTTCTCTAAAATGATAACCTCTCCCCTTAGGTAGGCAATTAATTAGTTTCATCCAATAAATGAACATGGAATAAACTGGTGGCTCCTGGACCTGATCCAGGCCCTCTGCTTGCTTTCATGAGGAGTGAGTTTTTTGTGCCTGCCTGCAGCAGTGAGTCTACAACCAGCCATGGCCCTTCACCAGTTCATCTCCCCTGTTAAAAAAAGAAATTGCGAGTGAGCAGGAGAGAGCAAGAAGGGGGAAGCCAATGTTCCACAGATGCTAAATAATTCAGAGTCAGCCTCTTGGGTATCTGAGCACTGGTCATTGCCTATTCAAAGGGGTGAGGACAGTTGTGCAGAAGATTCCCTACCACCTCTCTCTCTCTCTCTCCCCCTCTCTCTCAGGGTAGATGGAGGAAGTCATCGAAGTTCAGGGACCAAGCAATCTTGATTTGTATCATCTAGCACAGAGAGGCATGTGTGGTGAGCACATGGAGAGAGAGAAAGAGAGAGAGATTCTTCTTTTCCTGTCCCAGACCTTCAGCATTTACTGTCCAATTCCCAAGTATTTAAGTGTGATTATTATTTTTTAAAGCTCTTTGGGCTCTGATACACCTTCAGCAACCCTCACTATATGGCTGATTTTCTGAAACTTTTGTTTTTGACAGCCTTCTTGGCAGCTCTTTGCTCCAGAGATTAGCTCTGTTCCTCTTGAGCTCCCTTTCGAGGATACACTTCTCATTCCGGCCTTGGTTTTGGAGGATAATTTCATGTGTGAGATGCAGGAGGGAGGGGGAGAGAAAGAGAGGGAGGGAATGAGCAAGATAGGGCTAGTCAGCTAAAATATTTCCTGATCAGTTGAAAAATAAGAGTGAGGATCCAAAAGGACCCTGGTGAATTGTTTTTAAAATAATAATAGTAATAATTACAATGCAATGGAACTATCAGCAACAAACAAAAGAGACCAAGGAAAGTGGAGATTCTTCTGCAGTCGTGGCAGATTTCAGGCTACAGAGCCTCCCATCTCCTCCAACATTCCCAGTAGCTCTGGCCTCTTAGCCAATCCCATTGTCTCCCCTCAGCCAGTGTTTCCCGGCTGCCAAGCTCTAAGCTCCCATCAGTCGCACAGTGAGGCAAACACCACAAGGAAGCAAGGTTTAAACCTCCCTTCCAGGCAATTAGGTGACTGGAGAGTATTACTCCTGTGTGTGCACGGGTGCTTGTGTTCTTGTGCACGTGCGAGGGTCACCCAATGTCCTCTGCTTCAGAGGGTCATTCTTTGAAGAGCGGTCTGGTCCTGGTCCATTTGTATGCCTAATTTCATACTGGGGTCAGGAGCCTGTGTCTCCACCAGTCCCATCTGCCATTCAAGAGCTAACTCTCATTGGGTAACAGTTGTGATAAGTCTTTAAACTGAAGCAGGCCAGGACAGCCTTTCAAACAGAAGAAGCCTGCCGTGGTCTTTGCATCCTCTGCAAAAGAGAGCACATAGCCAGCACCCTTTCCCCAGTGTCAATATTGGTTTCTCCAAGTGGCACCATGGTTCCACTTTTCTCGCCACTCAGCACCCAGTGTTTGCTGTTGGAGGGAGTGATATTTCTTCTTTTTCCACTGTTTACTAAGGGTCCTGGGAGCCTCCCTTCCCTACGATTTGGGACTGGTTGCTGTGCTTCTCTGAGGGACTAAAGAATCACAAGAACCAATTCTAAAGTTACATGTAGTTATTTGAAGCATGTACCTCCTTTCCTACCTCAGAGGCATACAGAGTTATTTTTAGCCTTGCGTTATTTCTATGCTGCCGGTCAGGCCGAGAGAGAGAGAGAAACAGAATATTTCCCATGCAGGGATGGGAGACAAATTTATTCAGTTTGCCCTTTAATATCAATATACATCATTTTGTACTAGGCAGATCGAAAGCTGTTTTCCTTCGAAGCCTGCCATTCGCTAGGTTTGTGCAGTGGAGTTCTCCAATGATATCTTTAGAAGCATACAAACTTCGTATGTATTAGGGAACATAATATCCAAATATGCCATAGCAAGACTGCTTGCAAAAATGTGCGTTTCAGACAAAATGCATATCAATTGCACTCATTACAAACAATGCACACTATGGGTTTTCATGCAAAATTAAAATAAAGAAAAGATTCTCCAAGTTTGGTATGACCTGAACTTACAACTGGAAACACTTTCACAGTATGAGGCAAACTGATCTTAAGAAATGAATAGATGTGTCTGCTCTTCTTTCCAAAGGCACTTCTAGAATGTCCTGGCTCAGAGAAGTCTTGAACTCCTATATGCAAGCAGAAAGCTTTAGCCTAGCCGCGAGGAACGTCTTTTAGTCCAAGGGCCAAATTCTCTGTCCAAGAGCCCCTTTGGAGCCACAATGTAGTGGCCTGCAGAGCTGACAAGAAAGGGGGTGGGGCCAAAGATGCAAACATACCAGCATATTGTCGCTAAACTTGTTAGTGTCCAGTGATGGGTGAAATGGGAAGGCGGGCATGACCCTCTGGGAAACCCTGGAGGACAATTCCAGGTCCCCAGGAGGACTGGATTTGGTCCCTAGGACTGAGGTTTCCTAACTATGTAGTGGACCAAGGGGTACTGGAGTCGGGATTTTCAGGGTCAAAGTGTCAGGACCTTTTAATTAGCAAGGAAGAGGGTATCATATGTTCCTCCCCACCACCCCAGTGTCCCTCTTCCTCCTGAGTTTAGCTGCCATCCTGACAGAACACTGCACAGAGTGATGGATTTTTCAGCACAGAGTGCGGGGGGGGGGGGTTGGTTTTGTTTTGGTGAGCTCTTTGTTGTCTGGGATCTGCACAAGTTCAGACTCTCTTTGGAGGGGGCGGCTCTGGGGACAGTCAAAACAAGCACCACCACTTCTGGGCTTAGCACGACATCATGTGCTAAGCTAAGCCATGCAATGTATGGGACGGAGGGCATCCATTAGGTCAGCAATTCTTAAAGTCTGTCTCAGGGAAGACTAAGATTCCTCAAGAAGGCAACTCAGATAGTCTCTGTCCTCATGCCCAGCTAATTAAACCAAAGTAGACACAATTGAACAGACATTCCTCCCTAATTTACCCTTTTCTCTCTATCTCTTACTTTCCACTGTGGTCTCCCCTGCTGGGTTTGAAATCAGAAGCTCCTTAGGGCATGAACCTAACCTCTGGAAAGCTGCATTATAAGAAGTCACACTGCTAGTTCTCCTATGAACTTACCAAGTTACTTGGTATCGACAGTGATTGGGAGCAGAGTTTCAGACAGTTGGGTGCCCCATGCCACCTTCTAAGCAGCACTCCAGCATGCCACAACCTCTTGTCACCGAATTCCCCCTGCTATCAGTTTTCCCCACTCTCTCTGCTCTCTCTCCCAGAAAGCTTCCTTCAGATCACACTTTCCCCATTTCTAGGAAAAAGGAAAGGGTGACCAGTATCAAGATTGCTGGTGTAGGCCCATGTATACTATGCCTGTGCAGGCATCCGATGTATATAGGTTTGTGTGCTTGTGTATGCTTGCATCTGCATTTCTGCATTTCTGTTTCTGAAATTCTGTGCATGAAAAGTATAGAAGATGTTCAGAATCCATTTTCAGAGGAGAAAAGATAAAAACTTCATTTTGTGGGCCACTTTCTGATTGCGGTTTCTCAGGAGCTGCAGCTGTTTTGAAGATTTCTGCTTTGTGCTATGCCTTGGATATCAGGGTGTTTTGATAGATTGTAAATGCTTCTGCAGTGCCATATTTCTGTGATGTGGGGACTGCAGCTGAAAAGAGACTGTTGTGCATTTTTCAATGTATCCACCAATGTGCAAAATCACCGTGGTTAGGGCTAGCCTCTCCCTTTGGTTCCTCTGGCAGGTGCAAGTGCAACCTCCATGCCAACTTGTGCACCTTCAAAGAAGGGAGCCTCCAGTGCGAGTGTGAACACAACACAACTGGGCAGGACTGTGGCAGGTGCAAGAAGAACTTCCGTAGCAAGTCATGGCGGGCGGGATCCTACCTCCCTCGCCCCAGCGGCTCTCCTAATGTGTGTAAGTAGCTGTACAAGGACAATCATTTTCTTTCTTTCTTTCTTTCTTTCTTTCTTTCTTTCTTTCGATTTACAAAGAGCTCAAAGTGGTGTATATCCTTCTCCTCCTCCTGCTCTCCATTTTCCTCACAACCACAACCCTGTGAGGTAGGCTGGGCTGAGACTCTGAGCCTGGCCCAAAGTTACCCAGTGATCTCCATGGCTGAGCAGGGACTAGACCCCAGATTGACTGAGTCCCAGTCCCATGCTCCTAACCACTACACCACACTGCCTCTCCTCCCGTCATCATCATCCCTGGAAGCATGATGTCTGCATTGGAGATGCCACTGTGGATGTATCCCGTCTCAAACATGGTGTGCAGGGAGTACTAGCAAGATATATCCCAGTCTTGAGAGTAGCAGATGAAGTGGGTGGCAAGATTGAGGCAGGGAAAAGTAGGACCTTCGGTAGCTTCAAATGAGTCCTGCTGGCTGAAATTCTTCCCTACCAGGAATGAAGCAAAGTGTAGTCTCAGCAGGGAAGTGAAGCTAACGGAAACCCCATGTAGGCCGACAAGACCCGTTATGTGGTCAGCTGAGTGGACCATTAAGGGCCCCTTTCTGATTTTTTCTTTTATCCTACATGACTGGGGAGATGGACACATTCCTGAGTCTCACTTTCCGAGTCAAAGGATGATGGGAGGGGAAGGCACTGACTCTCCCATTCCCAAAGAAGAAGCCTGTGGTTCATCTTTATTAGGCAGTGACTGGAGCTACAGCCTGCACTTCTGAGGGTGTCGGATTGGGCAAGGCTCCGCTTCCTGTGACTTGGAGATGACGGGAGCGCTAGCATGACCGTATCACCAGGGCAGGCCTATGGGAGGAGCAGAAGCTAAAATCCATCACCCAGCCTCTCCCTCGTTTGCAAAAGCAGCCTGGCATAAATGTCACGGTGGAGCAGATGCGGCTTTGAAGCAGCTGCAATCCCTTGCATGTCATTCCACCCTTGCTTTCCACCTTTGAATTAAGAATTATGGGGCTTGGGGTGATCAAAGCTGAGACCCAAGCTCAAAAGACCACGGCAGGAACGTTTTGTATTTGACAGGGAGGGGCGATGGGAGCGCTTTGAAAGGGAGCAACACGGCTACTGCCAAGTGCCTGCAGCCCTTCAAAGGCGCCACAGAGAGCCTTTCTGGTGCCGACAGCCACCACAACCTACAGGCCGCAAGCAATCCCTTTTCCCATTACATCAAGCTTGTTCCTCATCTTTCTCGTATCAGGAATGAGATGTCCTGGACAGAGTTAGGCTCTGCAAACCTGGGGGAGTCTCCTGCTATGAGACTGTAAGACACCCCTGCCTAAAAGCTAGATGGAGTGTCCGGCGTGTCAGGAATTGCCTTGAGCAGGGAACAAACAGGCACATTGCCGACATAGCTCAGGAGGACGGTGGTGAAGAGGAGGAGGAGCAGGCGATGCCATGGTCTGCCTGCTCCTGGGTGCTGTGCCTGGCAACGAGCAGTGATGAGAAAGAGGAAGAGGAACAAAAGCAGACTGGTAAGGCAGACTCCCTGAGGGAGGGTGCTTTGCTTTGCTCAGGGACCTTCTGAAACCTGGATCAGCCACCTCCTCAGGAGACCAGTCTTTTGCCATTTCTTGTGTGAACAGACCTGATCCACTCCTCCTAGATTAAAGTGGGAACTGGAATTCAATTTGCCCCTATTTCACACTTCTCCATACCTATTCCACGATGTGAAGTGGTACCAAAAACACAGTTGCACAGCTCTGGCTTATGAGCGCCTGACAGTTTTTGCTATTTTCGCTTTGCTTCCTTCAACATGACAACGACCATCCAGGGATCTCATGCTGGATATGACCAGGGCTTTTTTTGTCACAGAACGCAGCGGAATGGCGTTTCGGCACTGTGTTTTCCAATGGATTTTACCAAGTGATTTTGAAGGAGTAGCAGATCAGCAGCAAACATCATTAACATAGTGCCTGCAGGCGGCTATTGTGTCTGCTATCTGCTATCTGATAGTGAGAGATCGCTGCTGCCCTGCTGGCTTGGGATTGGTGTGTGTGCGTGCTTACTGTGCTTACTGCCGCGGGGACCTGAGTTCTGCCCCCCCCCTTTTTTTTTTTTACAAAAAAAGCACTGGATATGAGACCACTATGATCCCTATTCAATTCATGGGTAGCCATGTGCCGCCATTACTAACAGCCAAAACCCATTCTAGCTGCATCCGTGGGGGTGTGGAGAGTGAGCCTGCCCAATCAGGAATCACCCAAATCTTTCCCAGCACTTTTGCAATATCCCAAACATTTTCGACGGGTGCTGCCACGTTCCATGCAGCTTTGTGGTCTCTCCCTTCCTTGCCTACCTTTCAGCTGTGCTCTGGCAAACTTCATGTACTCAGAGTGTAACTTATTAGTAACAAGCTGTTGTGCCAAAACTGATGGAAACATATGACCCTGCTCAGCCTGAGGCCACAGCAAGAGAATGCTAATAACTGGGGTCCCCAGGTCACAGCGGGTGGCTTGAATGCAACGCACCCTTGCATGCTTTGCCCTGAGCAGGCTGTTTTGATCTCTCCTGACCAGTCTGTGCACTTATGAACAAAAGACTCCTGTTAATTAGCACCATGCCCTCCTTCATACATGCTGACCCAGTTCTTTTTTCCTTCCAGGTGCAGCTCCAAACTTCGGCAGTAAGTAAAAAATGTGACTTGAAACACTGACATTTGATGTGTCCACTGCATGGTCTCTGTGCATGTCCCTAGCTGGGGAAAAGAATGGTGACGCGCTCTGTCCATTAGCGGCTTCCAGGCAATAGTGTGCTCTTCTAACGGTGACTCATTTTCTGCCCTCTCGAAGGACCTTCTTTGACTTCAGGAACTTCATTGTCTCTGTCGCTCTGCTGCGCTTCTCCTCCTCCACCCCAGCCCTACAGGATGTGTTAGGCCATCAGCACAGAAGGAAGCTGAGTGATTCTCAAAAGCCCCCCCGTGAAGGTCACGAACCCCCCACCCCACTATCACAGCCAGTGCTTGAAACTCTCCTCCTAACCATGAGAAATGGTTTTGGTTTCTTAGCTGCAGGGGCTGGTTTCTGCCACCTTCATTAGCCTTGAGAGCATGGGTCCTCAAACTAGGCCCATGGGCTGGATCCGGCCCACCATGCCCATTCATCCAGTCCGCCATAACTCATCACGCGTGCGCACGCATGGCAAGGTGCCATCTTGCTCGCAAGGAGATCGTTTTGGACTCACTCGGAGAAAAGGCTCTTCTTGCGAGCAAGCCAGCACCTTGCCGGGCGATCCTTTTTTCCAAGCGAGTCCAAAACGATGTCCTTGTGAGCAAGCCGGCCCTGAGGTGCGCATGCATGCCCCTGCCTTTCTGCATGTGCCCCCTGCCCGCACTGCCTTGGTGGCCCACGCCCATCCCTGGCACCTTTCAACTGACCTCCTATTCAAAAAGTTTGAGGACCCCTGGGCTAAAGGATGCCGTGTTTTGTTTTGTTTTGTTTTGAATGAAGAATGATGCCTTATATTGGGACGTTTCTGCTGAAAGTCTCTGAGCAAAAAGTATTACCAGCCATAGATCCAAGGGGCTACAAGTGAGATAACTTCCCATTGTACCAGGAATGTGTGTGCAAGCTGCAGTGTCACAGGAGTGCAGAAAATGTGGTTTAACTGTTAGGTGACAAATGTTACTTATGTTTTAGCTGACAAATGTAACTTCAGATTTTTGAGAATCTTGGCAAATTTCTAGCCTTTATGGATGTAAATGTTTGTAGTATTGCTTGGTGGATTTTGCCACCTTGATCTTTAGCATGCATATGGAAGGTGCTATTGGGATTTGTGCACCAGCCATTCAAAGGTTAAAGTCCATCTCGTGGTCGAGGGACTGACATTTTTTCAGCCTCCTAACCAGAAGAAAGAAAAGGCCTATTTCCATTCCGAACTATGCAATCCTGCTCAGACATCACTTCCACCAAGTTTGGTGGGGTTTCTTCCTGGATAAGTGGGCCTAGGATCACAGCCTAAACATCACCACAAGTGCCTGTGAGGCTACTGGAAGAAATAACTTTTAAAGATAATTTGCAAACCAACATGATTCTGTTTAGGGCCACATGTGGTTGGTGGGACTGCACGCTGCTTTGCTGGTGACACTGTTTTGTTTGTGCTACAAGAGCGGCTCATCAAGGTGGTGTTAATTTGGCCCCTGTGGTTCCAAGACCAGCAGTGGCTTGGATAACAAGGGTAATCACTAATGGAGACGGCGTGCTGCAGACCAACGAAAGGAGACTGGTCTCCGCTTGTGGTCTAAATACTGGCAAAAGGAGGAGCGGCAAAAGCAGATATGTCATTCTGTGTTGTCAGATATAAAGCCAAGGGTTCTCTTGACAGCACAGGGAAAGCAGTGATTAATTGGTGATAAGCTTGTCAGAGATGAGGTTGATTCTTCCCCCATTCCCCCAGTGTTTTCCAAAGAGTTCGTAAGTCTATAGTAACCTACCCCAGCCCGTGCTCTCCAGACATGGCTGCAGCCAGAAGAGACAATGGTCAGAAATCCTGGGACTCACAAGTCAAAACTATCTGGAGAGCATGCAGTAGGGAAGGCTGGATCAAGATTAGGAATGCACCTCTGTTCAGTCCATTCCACCTGCATCAGGCATCTTCGTCTCTCCTTTGATGGAATTGGATTTTTTGCACTTGAACTAATTTACATCAGCACTAATGTGCAGTAGCACTAATGTTCACGCACACAAATGTGCTACTGAGCATTAGTCCTAATGAGCTCTTGCACCTTTGCTCATAAGAATCAGTACAAATACCCCTCAAAAATGCGAAAACTCCATGTAACTTGGAAAAAAACAAAAGCCACAGGTTGGATTCATAGGCATGCAAACTTATTTGAATCTGTTGCCAAATTCCACCAACATCCCTAGTTAAATTTCTGTCCCTGAGGATGTTGAATGCATCCGTGCATGTCTTCCAGAACTTGCCTTTTATAGAGATGCAGCAAGTGTGCAGGATCTGGAATTCACTGAGGAAAGCACACCACACCAGCCATGGATAGTGACTTGCCAGATATTTCAGGGATTACCCATCCTTCTAGTGGACTACCATAGGGGTTAGTAGTGTGTCACCTGGTTGTGCATGGGATGTGCAGGCCTGAACTCCATCATAGCTCCTGCGGTCATAACTGTGCTTGGGACAAGCAGTAGGGGAAATTTCATCTGGGTGAGTAGCTTGCAGGGGCCCACTCAAATCATCCAGGGGATATTTGGGCATGTTCCCAGTAAAACATGTTTCTTGAACCTGAAAGTTTTATGAATTTTTAGCTAAATCAAGGCTGAATAGAGGCTTTGTACCATTTTTGTTGTCCTGACCCTTTCCCACAGCCACCCCACACAATCCCCAGGTCAAAGGATCTGAGTCACTGTAGTTTGCTTGTTCACAGAGAATTCCAAACCTGTCTCTTCATGGAATCAAAATATAGAATTAACACTCATCCCATTTAGGTGCACAAAAGCAATATGCCCTATAAAACATCCATTCCCAGCCTGGCACCCTTCTGGATGTTTTGGATTATGAGCCTCATCATCCCGTCTACAGGGAACCCTGGCCAGTAGGTATGTTCACTGGGGATGATGGGGTTGTGCCACTCTGGGCTGGGGAAGGCTACCCAAAACTGTGCCCTAGCATTTGAAATCTAACATGGAAAAGGGATAGATGCTGCTTGCGCTCCCGCTCTCTCTTTCTCTCTCCCCCCCACCCACCCCCATTCAACATTTATTTTCTTTGTTAGCCAATGAGCGGCCAAAGCGAATCACTACCACCAAAGCCACCATCAATACGACTCCCAAAACCGCCACTGCCACCAGCACCACCGCTTCCACCACGTCTGCTGTTCCTACCACCTCTACCACTGTCATCACTACCACGTCCACCACCACATCCACTGCCGCCACCCTACCCATTACAACTCCACAGCCAGGTGGGTGCCAAGCTGTAGACTGCAAGGCACAATCCTGCCCCTCCACAGCTCTCGACTTGCTCATATAGATCCATTAGCATTAGTTGTGCTCACAGGTAACTCCCTCCCTCCCACCTTGCCTCCCGCTGCAGTGCATTCAGTAGCCACAAACACCTTTAGCTAGAGGAGTCCAGCTCAGCCTGCGTGCCTCTTTGCCCATCCCAGAGGCCTGGGCTGGGGACATGGATAAAAGTCACACGGCCCTCCTCCTCCCATCTTTGTCAGCAGCAGAGCTTGCTTTGATTTCAGGCCTAAGTAATGCTGAGGAGGGCATGAGCAATACTAGCTTGCAGCTCTTTCATTTTCCCACCATGTGAGTAGCTGAAGCAACTTTCTGGAGGGGTCTCCATGAGGCAGGGGCATGGCATCAATTCAAGTCTAACTATTTATTTATTTTTATTTATTTATTAAAACATTTTTATGCCGCCCCATTCACCGAAGCCTCGGGGCGGCTTACAACATAGATAAAACAATAAGTTAAAATATCCATATAAAATAATCTTAATTAAAACACACATTATAAAATAAGCCACCCTGGCCAGATAAAATTCAATTGTATTTAGCATTTAAAATGTTGCTTAAATAAAAAGGTCTTAGCCTGGCACCGAAAAACAAATAACGACGGCGCCAGGCAGACCTCTCTGGGGAGCGCATTCCATAACTTAGGCGCCACCGCTGAGAAAGCCCTTCTCCGAGTAGCCACCCTCCTAATTTCTTTCACGGAGGGTTCCCAGAGAAGGGCCTCTCCCGCCGATCTCAGGGGGCGACTGGGCAAATATGGATGTAAGCGCTCCTTCAGGTAACCAGGACCCAAGCCGTTTAGGGCTTTATAGGTCATTACCAACACCTTGAATTGGGCCGGGACTTCAATGGCTGTTCCATTTCAGAGAAACTCTTGGGATCTATTTTCACTTTGTCCAGCAAAGTTGGTCTTTCCAGCCAAAGCCCCAACATGCCAAGCCTTTGTCCGCCTGCCTGTCTCTCATAGTCAGCTGATCCTAATGAACTCAGCATCACAGGGTGTCCCACTGCTATGTGGAAGGGTGGTGGTGTGCAGATCAATATAGCGGGCTGCATTTTGGACCCTTCCTGGTAATGTGGCTGTGGAGGAAGTCACAATGAGCACCTGCGTACCTTGTCAAAGATAGTAATGGCTCTTGATGCCTGGATTCTATGCTCAGGGGGTACTCCAAGGCTGATGTGATTTTTATCCATGTTGGCACATTGTGCAACCCCCCCCCCCAGTTTTTCCCCTTCTCCATCGCCTATGCTTTGCCCCTCTGTCTTGTGGCAAGGGTGGGCAGGAGATGGAGCCTTGAATTTGCGTCAGAAAACCAAGCAAGCCTCGTGTCTTCTATTTCCCCTATCTGTGAGATTGATCATTTTCTAGGTAAGATCTATCCAGTTTTTGCAGGTGCACAAGACTGACTTTGGTTGTTCTATGTATCTGCCTCCCCCATCACTCCTTGCACTAAGCTAGCTGTTGGCAGGGTTTCAGTGTGCAATGTGTTAGCTCTGTAACATTAAGGCTTAGCAGGAAGTCCACCAGTTAAAGAAAAGTTTGCTTTTATCTGTCTTTTATCCTAGGTGCCAATGCATTTAATCCAAATAAATGCACATGCTCAAGCCTTGGAAGAAGTGCATTTTTGACGCATTGGGGAAACATG